TTCTAGGTAATGTAGGAATAGAGGTCGCACGACTTTTTGAGGTGTAATATCCTAAAGGCCAATTTCGTTTTAGTTACCATAATAGGGATCTAGAATAACTAGAAGACAATTGGCCCGAAAGCATCATCAGCGAAGAGTGTGGGGCTAGGTGATAGATCCAGTGTGTAGGATCGTATGCAGATACAGTCAAGAGTCATGGAGTCCATGAGTCATGAGTCATAAAGTCATAGAGTTACAGTGAGATAGCGTCATAGAGTCATAGTGAGATCAAGTCACAGAGTCATGGAGTCATCTATGTAGCATGCACTTGACTCGATGTAGTTCACTCTATGCTCTATGTGTGGGAACGCTTAATCGAGATCCCCGTAGCGTGGTGGCTCATAGCCCGACCTGGACCTCGAGATGCAGATACAGTCAAGAGTCATGGAGTCCATGAGTCATGAGTCATAAAGTCATAGAGTTACAGTGAGATAGCGTCATAGAGTCATAGTGAGATCAAGTCACAGAGTCATGGAGTCATCTATGTAGCATGCACTTGACTCGATGTAGTTCACTCTATGCTCTATGTGTGGGAACGCTTAATCGAGATCCCCGTAGCGTGGTGGCTCATAGCCCGACCGTGGACCTCGAGATGCAGATACAGTCAAGAGTCATGGAGTCCATGAGTCATGAGTCATAAAGTCATAGAGTTACAGTGAGATAGCGTCATAGAGTCATAGTGAGATCAAGTCGCAGAGTCATGGAGTCATCTATGTACCATGCACTTGACTCGATGTAGTTCACTCTATGCTCTATGTGTGGGAACGCTTAATCGAGATCCCCATAGCGTGAGGGCTCATAGCCCGACCTGGACCTCGAGAGGCACATACAGTCAAGAGTCATGGAGTCCATGAGTCATGAGTCATAAAGTCATAGAGTTACAGTGAGATAGCGTCATAGAGTCATAGTGAGATCAAGTCACGAGTCATGGAGTCATCTATGTACCATGCACTTGACTCGATGTAGTTCACTCTATGCTCTATGTGTGGGAACGCTTAATCGAGATCCCCGTAGCGTGGGGGCTCATAGCCCGACCTGGACCTCGAGAGGCACATACAGTCAAGAGTCATGGAGTCCATGAGTCATAAGTCATAAAGTCATAGAGTTACACTGAGAGTAGGCCGCCACGTTGCTTGCTCGCTCTTTCGCAAGACAGCGTCGAAGCAAGCAAGCAACGGTGCAACCTAGCCAGAGCGAAGAATTCGCGGCCCGCACGGCTCACCGTGGAGTCAAGGGCCGCGCGGCCTGAGGAGGTGCCGGGAGAGGTCATCCCAGGGATTACGGCGGTCCGGAGCCTCATGAAAACTGCTGATTGTAGTTGCAAAGGTTCATCGGGAGCCCCGAGCCTCCATAGCACGCATTATACCAACCCAAGGTATAGTATCATGGAAGAAGAAACATAGCGGCAGCTGACGAACATCCCCAAACGGAAGTCGCAACACTGGTCTCTGAAAGTAGCAGGGAATTAGGGTTTCGCTCTTCATCTCAAACCACAAGAGGCCAGCGTATGTTTCTTAGCCGACCCAACAGACTCCAGGGGAACGCCACGGGCTTAGGGGTCCTTATTTCGTGTCTATCCACACCGGATAATCCACGAGGGCCTAGTAGGACTAATGCAGGGATCACGGTGGTCCGGAGCCTCCTCTAGAAAGATTGATTCTAGCTGCAGACATTCATCGAGAGCTCCAGGCTTCGGTGACACCCTGTGTATCAACCCTTGGTATACTATCTCAGAAGAAGAAACCCGGCGGCATCTGGCAAACATTCCCAAGCGGCAGTCACAACACGGGTCTCTCAAAGGATGATTGGGGATTTAAGATCTATCCTATACCACAAACGGGTCCACCTCGCTGAGCCGCTGCGCGACTCGTGCCGCCGGGAGTCCAGCAGCGGAAGGCAGTGCAGCCATTAGGGATTTGGGAAGACACCGTTCCGAAGTGAAACACCCCACTTCACTAGGAAACCCGCCAGATGCCGCGAAGTATTTAACCCGCCAAGCAATCGAGGAGCTCCTGCGTCTCGATGAACCTTTATCTGCTCACAGGATGTCGCGGCCAGGAGATGAACCGAGGCATTGGGAATCACTACGCTTCCGCCGCACCAATGTACCAATGCGAGCACTTGAAGTTGCCGTTGATGGTTCGCCCATCATAGTTCTCGCTCGGCAGCCTTCGGTTGTCAATCGGCCTGAGACGTCCACGGTACCTCACGACTTCATGGTGGAATTCTGCACATCGGCTGGATCCGTTGACGCATCCATAGTCTTGATGTTCACATCTGCTTGATGTTGGGCTGGATTTGTTGACGCATCCATAGTCTTGATGTTCACATCCGCTCGATGTTGCAACGGCAACTGCAGCATGTCCACGCTTGCTTCATAAATGCACGCTTCGTGCAATGCGTTGTCTCTGTAGCACACACACACACACACACACCCATACAACTGGTTCGGGGGAGTTCGGAGGATCAAGTGAGACCACAGAAGCCTTCGATTTGACATCCATCTATGCAAAGCAACACACCTTACACTGCATCACGAAGCATTTCGGAGTCGGGTTGAAGGTGGAGGGCCAGCGCGGGAGGAACCTGGACCTAGACTAGGCTACGGCTACTCTTCCCAGGCGACCCTCCCCGGCCTTCGTCGTCACGTACCCGGCTTTCCGAGTAATTTCTGAAGCTGCTCACGAAGGTTGCCAGCCTAGAAACAACAAGCAAGCGCTTTCCTTCCTATGGCGGCTACGTTGCTTGCTTGCTCTTTCGCAAGACAGCGTCGAAGCAAGCAAGCAACGGCCCAAGCGACCGTCTCGGCCTGGACCAAGTGGGAGACCAGCATCAGAGAGGCGGCCTGGTGAGGTGCTGGGAGAGGTCTCATACACAGATTACGGCGGTTCGGAGCCTCGTGAAAACGGCTGATTGTAGTTGCAAAGGTTCATCGGGAGCCCCGAGCCTCCATAGCACGCATTATACCAACCAGGCTTCGCCCTGCTCGGCATGACCCGCGCGCAGCTCCTGCAGCCTTTGCTGCGACTCAAGAGCTATAAAGGTTTACGAAAGCACTTTCGGCAGGGCGTTTGGGGGCCCTGAAGTGATTCAGAGCCGACTTGACTTCGTGGGTGTAGTTTCTTAGTGACCACACACGAACTTGCACTCTGCAGTTCGTTGCGATTCGAGAGACCAAAAAAGTGTTGAAAGTAACAACATAATCTTGATTCTTGCGTTAGCCTCCCGTGCTTGTGCATGTGGTTTTCTTTGATTTGCGGAGAATTTTGTGATTTGTGCCATTGCATCTGTGCAGAAGCATAGAAGCCTGATGAGTTCTTGCCATGGAGAAATCAGTTTTTCGTTGATTCTGCATCCTTGGCTGCGTTCGGCTGCAGTGCTTTTGGGCCTTTTTGGAGTTCCCGCTGGCATCGACTTTGGTTTTCTCGGCTGAAGCACGATTTTCTGAGGTAGTCTCCAAACATGAAGACGACCGTATCAGTCCAAACCATCTGTGCTGAAGCTGTTTTGATGCGTGGTATAGGCTTGTGCAACAGTGTTTTGAGTTATCCCGTTTACAGAAAGCCATGGTGCCTGGTTCTTTTCTCTAGTGATATCACCAGACCATAAACGTCTTCCAACATCAGACCTGCGAGCAACGTACAGAAGTGAGCTTCCTAAGTCATGGAGGCCATGCTGTGGGTTGTATGTCTGTGGACTTTGCCTTTTGTGTGGCCAACCAGAGGTGCGACTCCAGCTTTCGAAAACCTGGTTCATTTTTGGCAGGGTTTGGGCTGCTTTTGCAGTGGTTTGGTTAGTTTGGTGTCGGTCCGACCGCTTTCTGCCAAATGCTGCAATTTGGGATGGTCTTGCTGCTGGGTTGGTTGGGGCTGGCTCAGGATGGCTTGGGGTGTGACCCACGGCGGGCCTGCTCGACCTGCTCGCCCGTTGCTCGACCGTTGCTGGATGCTGGGCCCCGGGCTGCTCGACCTGCTCGCCCTTTGCTCGACCGTTGCTCGACCCTGGGCCCTGGGCTGCTCGACCTGCTCGCCCGTTGCTCGACCGTTGCTCGACCCCTGCGTGCCCCTGCTTTTTGCGCCCCGTGTTCAGTGTGTTTCGTTGCCACCTCTGCTGACAGCTTGGGGCGGGGCGGGTGCTCAATTGAGAGCCAAGTGGCTCCAAAGCGTTGCGTGGATCCTGTTTTCACCCAGAACTGAGGGTTTGCTGTAGGAACCAAGCAGGGAATGATGTTTCTTTCTGTGGAATTCCAGGATTCCAGGCTGGTTTGACGTGGGTTCGTAGATAGGTGTATCTTTGCTAAATTTTCCGTTGCTGCTCGGAGCATCGAAGAAGTAAAGTAGCGGCTGCTCAAAAAGCATTCGAAACAACGTGTGATCAGAGTGCAAGATGTGCGAAAGTTTGATCCAACATGCATGTTACTGGAACTGTTTTGTTGAGCATGCTTGTTGATGCTCCGACGTTTAGGATGGCTATAACCCATTGTATGTTAGATCAAAAATGCTCCCGCTTTGCTCGGAGCATCGAAGAAGTAGCAGCTGCTCAAAAGGTGGCCTGCGTGTGATTTGTTTTGTTGTGGGGTGGGTGGGGGTGGGGAAGCGGGAGCATTTTTGATCTAACATACAATGGGTTATAGCCTAAGAAGCACTAAAATTTTAGCGCGTTCGGAGAGGCCACTGTTTTTTGCATGTCTATTCCACCGTGAGATGCACGGTAGTTCCCAGAACAATTCGCCCCCTCTTAGCCCCGCAAGATTTGTCAATCCCACATACAGCATAAACCGAACAGCGTGCCAAGATTTGTCATCGGAAGATCGTTGCTCGGACAGCCCGTTGTGTTTATGTAGCTTTTTTCTGCGTGGTCTGGCTGGCGCCCCTTGTGTACTCTCATCTTCGCAGTTCCGGTGCATCGGACCCTTGGGGTGGCCGAATGCCTTCGCAGACGTGGAAGTGTAAACCTTAGTATCAAGAGCATCGGCCTGACAGCAAGAACTGCTTCACTTCAAAGCACAAAACATCCCACCTGGCGACGACACTGACGCCGCGCTGCAACAGAAGCTGACATGGACAATCATCGAGAACGCCGATTCCCCATGAAGCCTGCTCCCCGACAATGCTCTGTGATAGAGCATCCAACAGATCCGCTTTGGAAAGCGTGCGGCCGGCAGACTTCTGTCGCACAGACGCAGCGACAGCGAGCCCACGCAGCTCCTCTCGGTTTTGCTTGTCCAGCTCGCTGCGGAGCCAGGCTTCGCCCTGCTCGGCATAACCGGCGCGCAACTCCTGCAGCTTTTGCTGCGACGCCGGTTCATCGGCCTGACAGCAAGAACTACTTCACTTCAAAGCACAAAACATCCCACCTGGCGACGACACTGACGCCTCGCTACAGAAGCTGACATGGACAATCATCAAGAACGCCGATTCCCCATGAAGCCTGCTCCCCGACAATACTCTGTGATAGAGCTTCCGACAACTCCGGCTTGGTAAGCGAGCGCCCAGCTGACTTCTGTTGCACACCCGCAGCGACGGCGAGCATACGCAGCTCCTTTTGATTTTGCTTCCCCAGCTCGGTGCGGAGCCAGTCTTCGCCCTGCTCGGCATAACCGGCGCGCAACTTCCGCAGCAGCACAGCCATGGGATGGAAAAAGGCGTCCACGCCGGCCCTTTCGCAAGACAGCGTCGAGGCAAGCAAAACACTGTCACAAGTATGTTCAGATGAAAAAGTGTCTGCACCGACCCTTTCGCAAGACAGCGTCGAGGCGGGCAAACACTGTCCTAAGTATGGTCAGCTGATAAGATGAGAATAAGCAGAGAAAAATCTCCACACCGGCCCTTTCGCAAGACAGCGTCAAGGCAGGCAAGGAAGCGTACTAGCTGTAGTAAGATGCTGCAATGTATGCAAAATGCTGCAACGTGTTTTCCCTTTCTTCTCCCTTTCGAGCCAAACGAGGCAGGCAAACAACCGACACCGGCTCATCGGCCTGACAGCTATACTTCACTTCAGAGCACAAAACATCCCACCTGGCGACGACTCTGACGCCTCGCTGCAACAGAAGCTGACATGGACAATCATCCGGAACGCCAATTCCCCGTGAAGCCTGCTCCCCGACAATGCACCTGCGCCTGTCACGATAATGGAGTATGTGGTACATGCAAAAAAAATCTCGCTTCCGAGCCTGCAGAAGTCGTCGGCCAGGCAGCGGCGCGGTGCGCCGTCGCAAGACAGCGTGCGCGCCGTACAAGCGCATGAATATATGTGTCTATCTATCGATCTATCTATCTATATATATATATATCCATATATATATATATATATATTTATTTATTTACTTATATGGATAGATATATATATATATATATGTATATTATGCTTATCGATATATGCATTTGCCAATGCCAATCCCTCTGAAGGGTTGCCAATTGACCTGTTGCACACCTACCGATTAGAACAGTCGAAGAGGCAAATCCCTCTCAAGCCAATCCCTGTGAAGGGTTCCGCGGGCACCGCAAAATGTGTAACTTCACCTCGCGTTCGAGCACTCGACAACGCCGATCTGTGTGAAGGGTTGCAAAATTCATTTGAATGCTCATCAAAAATTGCAACTTTACCTCGCGTTCGAACACTCGACCACGCCTATCCCTGTGAGGGGTTGCAAAATTCATCTGAATGCTCATCAAAAATTGCAACTTTACCTCGCGTTCGAACACTCCACCACGCCAATCCCTGTGAAGGGTTGCACAATTCAGCTCAATGCACATCAAAAAATGCAACTTTACCTCGCGTTCGAACACTCGACCACGCCAATCCCTGTGAAGGGTTGCAAAAATCATCTCAATGCACATAAAAAAATGCGACTTTACCTCGCGTTCGTGCATTCGACCATGCGAATCCCTGTGAAGGGTTGCGCGGGCACCGCAAAATGTGTAACTTTACCTCGCGTTTGAACGCCCGAGAGTTCCAATCCCTGTGAAGGGTTGCGCCGGGCGCCTAAAATGTGTAACTTTACCTCGCGTTTGAACGCCCGAGGAGGCGAATCCCTGTGAAGGGTTGCGCGGGCACCGCAAAATGTGTAACTTTACCTCGCGTTTGAACGCCCGAGGAGGCGAATCCCTGTGAAGGGTGCGAAGCGCACCTAAAAATGTGTAACTTTACCTCGCGTTTGAACGCCCGAGGAGGCGAATCCCTGTGAAGGGTTGCATTCCCGATGGACGACGACGGTGCCACCCCTGGCTTTAGAAGAGAGAATTAGATACCGAGATGTAAAGAGTAAGTCATAGAGGCATAGAGTCAAGTAAGTAAGTAAGTAAGTAAGTATAAGTAAGTACAGAGATAGCATAACATAGAGTCCAGTGTCAAGTGTCAAGTAAGTAAGTAAGTAGAGTGAAGTAAGTAAGTAAGTAAGTAAGTCGTAAGCATAACATAGAGTCAAGTATCAAGTGTAGAGTCAAGTATCACATAGAGTCAAGTGTCAAGTGTAGAGAGTCAGTCATAGAGGTCAAGTAAGTAAGTAAGTAAGTATCAAGTGTAGAGTCAAGTATCAAGTGTAGAGTGAAGTAAAGTATGGAATCAAGTAAGTTGATTCTATGTCTGTCATCTATATACTCAGCTGCGGCGTTCCACACGGAAGAACCCTTCGCGATGCTTTCGGGAAAAACTGGTTTCCTGATGCTAGTAACCTAAATTAAACCCTTAAAGGCTCTTGCGAAACAACGTAAGCCCGTAAAAAAACACGCGCAGGTATTCCAAGGATCCGGCCCCAAGCTTCCCGGAATCTTTTAACTTCTTTTAGTAGAAGCCTAAAAGTTGGAAACCCCATAGCCTCAATCCCTAAGAGTAATGTATAGGGAATCCCAGCACTCTTTGGCCTTAATCCGGTTTCCAACTTTATGGGGATTGCTGTAGACGCCTTCATTCAGCAAAGCCTATTTCCAAAAATGAAATTCAATGGATCAAAAGATATAAGAAGGGAAAACGCCCAACAAGCCGCAGAACCAAACAACCCTAAACCCCCAAAAAAGTCATGACTGGATCTTACATTTTAATTCGTGAACCTTGCAAGTGCGCTGGGATTGTCCACTGCACCTCCGGCATGATATGGGAGTTTCCGAAATATACATAGTACCCTAAATACGTAGTAGGATCCTTAGTATAAGAACCCCAAAATAAGGCACTAATTTTCGGAAACTCCCACATGTTTATGGAATCTTGCTTGAAGTGGAGCTCTGGCACATAGAAGCCTTCCCTGCATGTCGGCATGTTGAAGAGGCCACGGCTTAGGGGTTTAGGGGTTTAGGGTTTAGGGGTTGAGGATCTATAGGGTTTAGGGTTTAGAGGTTTAGGGTTCAGGGTTCACCTTGGAAGCCTAGGAAGGCCAAGCCAAGCTGCATACAACGTGCTTCACACACCCGCCAACGACCCAAAGTAGACCGTTTAGATCCTGCTCTAATGCAGCATACCCACAGAACCTTAAACATATACAGTTCAAAACACCAACAACAAGCGGACATGACAGGCTTGGTAAGTGGATAACCTTTAACCTTTCTGGGGTAGGTTAACCTGTAGTTCCCCTAGGATACTGGACAAGGGAGCCCCAAAACTTCCCAAAGGTTCCTAAGTACCTACACAGCTTCTACAGTAGGATTATGTTTTGGGTATGTATCCCCCATAAGGCCCATAAAGGTAAGGTATTTTGGACCCTTTAGGAATCTAATGTAGAAGCCGGAACGTTGAAGCATCACTATCCTCATGCCCTCAAGGTGAAGAAAAGGGGATCCCAGCACTAATCAAACTAATCATCCTTAATCTATGCCCCAAATTTCTGGAATTCACTACCGTGGTATACTTCAACCTTAAACCCCTACACACCTAAATTTCTGGGGTTCGCAATAATTCCCAGAGATCCCAATACCCCTTAATTACTGGAATATGCCTTAGATTATAATAGGATCCCGAATATGACTTAAGGTATATTCCTTAATTAAGGGATATTGGGTTCTCTGGGTTATTACTTGGAGGATCATGGGACTTAGTAAGTAAGGTTATAAGTACCCTAATTGGGGTTATAAGTATAGTTACACGTACCTTATTTATAACCCCACTTACTAAGTCCCATGATGCTTTAAGTAGACCCTAAACCCTAAACCCCATAGATCACTTTAAGGAACCTTATAGATCCCTTTAAAGGAGCCCTTTAAGTAAGGCAACGGAGCCCACCACGGACCTGCTCGGGCCGGGCATTCGCAACTCGACCTCGGCCCGATGCTCAGCTACGGCTTTTTCGGCTTAGGGTCTAGGGTTCAGGGTTGATATTTAGGGTTTAGGGTTCAGGGTTTATATTTAGGGTTTTCGGTTTTTGTTGGCTTACCAGCAGGCTCCTACCCTGCTCCTTTTTTAAGGTACCTACTTTTCAAGATAACTGGTCCTAAAACCATAAAACTAGGTATCCCAAACAAGGGGTCGGGTATGAGCCTCGAGGTGAGGATGAGGGTCTAGAGTCGAGAATGCAGGCTTGACGGAGTTCTTGGAGGCCCTTTTGACTTAGTAAGTCTACTTAGCATCCCCTAGAAACCCTATTATAATCCCCATAACCCACCTTACTAACCCTACTTACTAAGTCAAAAGGGCCTCCAAGTTGAGGGTATCGGCCGGTATGGGGCGTAGTGCTTAGGTTTAGGTGCAGTGCAAAAGGTTTAAGGCTATAGGCTATAGGCTCGGAGGTTGCTGCTGGGGATCTATGGTACCCAGACCCCAGGGAGGATCCAAAAAGTAGATCCCTTGATGGGGGTTCCTATAAAGTACCGTTAGTAGTATAGGGCCCCAAATTGGAGCTTACAGACTTTCTGCACTGCCACTTCGAGGGAGATAAGTTGAGAGCAGTTGACCGCTTGGTTCCAAGGACCCTTAATAAGGACCCCTAGGTATATACCCTTAATATAGCTATTGCAAAAGCCCATTATAGGGTAGGGGTCCCCATCAAGGGTCCATCTTTTTCCCCTTTGATTGGTTTAAAGGCTCAGGATTGAGGTTGTAGGATTGCCATGAGCAATAAGTGGGGTTTTCCGAAGGGTTGGCTCCATAGCGGTTCAGAGCTGGGGAGTTGGGAGGATGTTTGCGGGCTTGCTTTTGGCAGCAGTGGATCAGGATGTGTTTCGAACTGTAGAACTTACGAACCCTGAGCAGTGCTTTGCTCGCAACCCTAAGCCCCATATTAAAGCGCCATGGCTGAGACTCTACACCTCAACCAGAGGCCATCGGTGGACTTCACCATTTCTTTGTCTGGAACCTACACGCGTGAACTCTAGACCTGAACCTTTACATTTCGCAGCTCTAAACCCGAAACCCTAAACCCAAACCCCTAAGCCCCTAAACCGTAAAAACCCTAAACCCTTGAAGGGAAACTCTATTAACCCAGCGTTTTAGAAGCTTCTAGGATCTTGGGGGTTGCGGCTTTGCGTGCACTGAAGTTCGAGAGCCTGCAAGTAGTGTTCACGGCTTTGTGGATTTGGGTTTAGGGCCTGGGGGGGTTAAGGGTTTAGGGTTATGGCTTTGGCAATGGGCAATGGGGGAATGAGGGGTTTAGAGGTGAGGTTGGGTTTGGGCTTGGACAAGTACAGAACACGAAATGATGAGTAGAC